GCAAGAAACGAGAGGTGAACTTACAAGCGGCCTCTGTTGGAGAAATTGAAAAGGAAATTCTCTTTAGTTTGATTTTTTTTTTCTGGTATAAGTTAAGTAAGAGTGAGGTAAGTGAATATGTTGTACTGCCTCTGTTGGTGTTGGTGAGAGGGCAGCCTAGTGAACCGGGACTAGGTCAGAATTACTTTGTGTCATTGGAAAGATTTATTTGTGCTGGGTCGTGTCAGCTTTCCAGGCTCTTAAGGCAGGGAATGTAACTGTAAAAAAAAGAGCGTTACTTTGTGGGAAAAATAAAAGACGATCTTTGTTATGTCACCAGGCAGATAAACGTGCAAGTTAAGTCTGTTAGCCACGCACATGCACTAAAGACACACACACAGGGGGGAGTATTTGGACTTTCCGCATACGGTTGTGAGTTGTTGAGGTTATAGATGACGTTTAGTTGTGGTGATTGTGGTTGCGTGGGTATGTGAAGGATTGTAGGGAGTTTTGGCGGTTGTGTGGTTGTGCAGATTGGTGTGTTTTTATGTGAGAGGTTGTGTGTTGTGGAATTAGTGTGGTTGTGATATACAAGTTGATGCTACATGTTTCAGAAATATAGAAGGTTGTGTTAGTTGTGTGTGGTGGGGTGTGAGGGTTAGGTGTGGTAGAGTTGTGTGGGGGAGTGTGGTTATGTGCATGGTAGAGTGTTGTGGTTATCAAGTTAGTGTGGTAGAGAATTAGGTGTGGACTGGAAGGAGAAAATCGCCCTCCTTGACACGAGAAGCAGAAGTGGGAGTTGGTCAAGGTGTGTGAGAGAACAACAGCAGTAATGACCCCAAGTATTACCACACTTTCTTAAGGGAAACTCGGCTGTGTGGTCCAGCTTTCAGGAATGACCGTGATGCCGTTTCTGCTGGGCTGTTTTTCCACGAGTTTTGGGAGAATTGGATGTCGCTCCGTTTTGTTCGGCCCCGATTTTCTCAAAGTTTGTCAGAGGTGGATATTGCTTTGTGTGTGTGTGTGTGTGTGTGTGTGTTTTCCTTAATTTCGATAGCTGTGGATGTTGCATCGTCTAATTTTACTTAAATATTTTTTCGTCTGGCTGAAATAGTTGTCGTTTTCCCCCTGAATGTGAATATGTATGTTTGTAAAGTATGCAGTTATACAGTGCATCATAAATATAGACAATGAAGGTTTACGGGCCGTGGAAGTTTTCTGTGTACCGAGACAGTACAGGTAAACAACAATGGTAAACAGTAATGCAACTTGACCAAGGATACCCGACTAAGCTGACAGATGCTTATTTCCCGGAGGGTCCTTTGCTTAGGCATACGCTTAGTCTCTAATCAGTGATAGTATGTCTTCAGGAATACAGGGGCGGATCCAGGAATATCAAAAAGGGGGTCCAAGAAGTTTTGAGTGGGGGAACATGGGGAGCCCAGCCAGCTGGGGGTTTTGAAATCTAACCAATATCATGGGCATTTTGAGGCCATACTGAAGCCATGTGCACTTGATATTAGGAGATATTCTGAGGTCAATAGTATTTACTTTTTACTCGACAAAAGCGCCTAAGTACAATACTGTATAAAAAGAAAAATAATTGGAATTTTCTGATGAAAAGAGGGGTCCGGAGCCCCCAGGACCCCTCCCTGCATCCGCCCTTGGAGTATTAGTGAAAGTTGATATGACAATTCAACAAGCATTACATTGCGCTTGGTCTGTCCGGGGCTGGCGGATCACTACCTCGGTACAGTACTACATTCTGTGGTTTAATGATACAGAAACTCGCTCTCTTGCTGTTGCTTCACTTCAAGAGACAAGTATTATGTTCCGAGTGTTTTCCAGTTGTCATTTTATCGAGTGAGACCTATGTTACCAGCGATGGGTGTGATAATCTTACAGCGGCGTGTTTTATTGTGATTTCGTCCGGTTGGAAATGACCCGGCGGTGGTGTGTTGGGGAGGTAGCGACCCGGGAAGTGTGTGATGAGTCATAGCCAGGGAGGGAGGAAGGGTGTTCTGTGTTGGTGTGTATACGACCGCTACACACCTCTCTCTCTCTCCTTTTTGTTTATCTCCCTCCTGCCCTCCCTCTTTCTATTTCACTCCCTCCTATCACTATTGCCTTCTTTCCTCCCTCCTACGTTCTCTCCCTTCTCGTACGTTGAACTCCCTTTAGGCTGACCTCTATTCCGCCCAACCTCCCCTCTCCCTTATTTTCCTCCTTCTCCCTCTTCTCTTCCTCCTCTTAGCACTCCCTCCTACTCATAAATTACCCCCTTCATCTCCTCCCATCCCACCTACCATCTTCTCAGGTCTTAATTTATTATCTTTAAATCTTCATCTCCAAAATGTTCGCATTGTGTTGTTTACGTTGTCTCATCAACAATGAAAGTTATATTAATTTTCGGTATAATTATGTACATTTCGTTAATTAGAACTTTTAGTGCTAAGTTTCACCACATATTTTTGTACTTCATATCACTTATTATTAACTAATTAACTTTCTACGTATTTTTTTTAGTTTCTATTATTTTTTTTAAGTTTAATGCTTGTGGTTTATCAACACTAAAAATGCACACGATTTTCATTAACGGGTTCCTTGGTTATTTACCAGTGGTGCTGGGAAGTGAGTGTTGGGTTGACTAACTCACTATGTAAGCCAGCTTCAGGGAGGCAGTATGAAGATTTGTGTTTTATAACAGTGTGACAGATGATGATAATGACGCGTGTGTATAAAAGTGTGTAGAGTGGCAGGTTGTCAGGGGGAAGGGAAGTAACTGCGTGGTTGATTGTGGGAACTGTGGTCGGGGTGGATGAGTGTTGACCGGACAAAATCTCTCCAAAACAACATAATCAGGTGGACAAAATCCCAGCAGCTCAGGATAAGCCACACAAACCCTGATTGAAAACTATAGATCACGTTAAGGAGGAATTTGTGGTATAAACTGGAGTGTCCAGGACGTGGCAGCCTTGATCGTGTAGCGAGAACGTTGTAGCCCAGTAATAGTCTGTCCCGGATATCCAAGTCAAGGAAATTTAGCTAAAAACTTTGGGTGTTTTAATTTAGTGAATGTTTACTGGCAAAGTGTGTTCTTATTACTAGTGATCTTTTACGTGTGTTCAGGTGTGTATTTTGCGTTCAGTGTTGACCTGTAAGTGTTGATTAACCAGGTAGTCGAGTTCATTGATCACTCTTTACTCGAGCGTTGAACTTAAACCACTACACACCCCACTCATAAGGTGTGCTCTTCTTAGTTTGGATGAATTACGTTCACTACACCATACGGAAATGTTGTAGCGGATACACGTAATTCTAAATAGATATACAGTATGAAAATAATATGTGTTTATACAGTATATATCCTTTGCCAAATTATTGAGAATAGGTTTATTGTCATATATTATCCTTCATGTGTATATTAGCTTTGTTTTGTGTGAGAATCAGAGGTTGTTTGGCAAGAAAGAAAGAGAGAGAGAGAGAGAGGGGGGGTGTAATAATCATATGACATTACCTACAGGGAACGGTTCAAGGTGGTATCAACTTTCACATGAGAACTTGTGTCCTCACTTACCGGGAGCCACAGGAGGGGTAATTGACCTGTCACCTAGACCCACACCCACTTTAGGCTCCTTAGCAACCATTCCAGTTAACAGTTAATCGGTATCTTGTTGCTGAGGAAACCGTGGCGTCACATTAACAAATTCACTACTGTATTTTCTGCTTAAACTTCGATGTTTTTTTTTAAGTTAATCATCTTATTAATCATTGTAAGGAAAAAAAAAATCGGGCCTGAATTCGCTTATATGACATAACTTCAAGACGAGAACTTGTGACTTATCTGGATCTGGCTGTACCTGGTGAAAACAAGCCTAATGGAGCGTGGTGTTGGCAGCTGCTGGAGTCATACTGGTGTAAATTAACCTTTATAAACAAACACTCGACATAACGCAGTGCACCATTAAAATAAAGCTTTGGTCTGACATAATATAGTGAATATAATGATAAGTGATAACAATATTTACATTTTCGACTACAATACGTGATAGAAAGTGATCATAATGTTAGGATTGTTTGGATTAGAATGTGATTGGATAGTCGGATATGGTAAGATATGTTAGTATTGTTGGAAAAAATGGAAATAAAAACATATCCCTCCCCCCACCTCCCCCACCACCTATCCGGTCCTCCTCGATAAAATAGTAAGATACATCATTAACGACACAGTATGATTAAAAACACGAGACGAGTTAATTGTGTGTAATTATCCATATAATTAAAAATTTGAAATATTTAAAACTCGTGTGTAATTATGGTAATGGTGTGAGAACTTTAACGTATGTCAGTTGTCCCAGTGACGGAGTTCTGTTGATTTTCTTGAACCCATTAGTGATGTTTGAGAACCCATTAATGCCTTGTTAAAGAACCCAATAACGGCTTGTTACAGTGCCCATTAATGGCTTATTAAAGTACCCATTAATGCCTTGTTAGAGAACCCATTAATAAAATAGATGTCTCCACAGTACCAAAATCCGTAACCGCTTCAAACATAAGATACAAAGTTAAAAAAAAAATCCAATGTGGTCCTTAAACACGTTATCATCATATAGGAAGGTAATCAATAATCTGAAGTTTAAATTATTGTAAATGGCTGATGAAAAAAGCCAATGAAGGCAAGAGAGTTGATAAGGCCAGAGGAACACGGTGGTGAAACACTATACTGGTCGAATCTTGTGGGGTTTGCCATCATGCGGGTGGCTGGGGACTGTTTTTTCCTGTGTGATATGTTTTAGATTAATAATGTTACTTTTTATGAGGGAGAGAGATGGACAGGGGAGCGGGAGACACGGGGAGAATAGAGAAGAAGAAAGAGTGTGTGAGAGAATGAAAAGGCTAAAACATGGTAGAGAAAGAGGACGATAGAGCAAGAAAGAAACAACGCAGAATATGACAGAGAGATAGATATATCTGATACAGCATGAAAAATAACACTAATCGTCTTCCTGTGTTATGTTCAGGCGTACACTACTTCCTGAGTGAGGCGCTGCCGGGGGAACCTCTGAGCGGGAAGCTGGAATGTCTACGTAGGGGACTGGTGCTGCAGTTGGAGGCCCTGGCGCTGTCCTACCCCACCCTCAGAATCAGGGCCCGCTCCTCCACCTCCCTCCCCTACCTTGCCATGGACCAGGCCAACGTACAAGGTAAGGACTGCTTATTCTCGTGTTGTAGATACTGTATAATGACATCGTAGAAAACTGTGCGACTGTTATTACCAGTTAGGGAAGGACCTCTGGAAAAAGACTCACTCAGAAGTAAAGAAACAAGTATGTGTGTAGGCTTCCATCTCTTCTAACTATCCGAGTAAAGTCCATGATTGTAGCAAAGGGATAAGTGTGTGTGTGTGTTTCGGAAACTATCTCCACCAACCTCCTTAACGTAGAAAACTATCTGTGTCAAGTCTCCACTTCTTATCAACTGTCCTAGGAATAAAACTATTAATTTCTGCTGCCCATTCTTATAACCCGAGTTCCTTCCCTGGTGTCATTATGTGAGTTCCTTCCCTGGTGTCATTATGTGAGTTCCTTCCCTGGTGTCATTATGTGAGTTCCTTCCCTGGTGTCATTATGGGAGTTCCTTCCCTGGTGTCATTACTGAGTTCCTTCCCTGGTGTCATTATGTGAGTTCCTTCCCTGGTGTCATTATGGGAGTTCCTTCCCTGGTGTCATTACTGAGTTCCTTCCCTGGTGTCATTACTGAGTTCCTTCCCGTGTTACAGGAGGTCACCCACCGAGTGAGAGCCTCAGTAGCGGCAGCAGTGGAGGTTCCAACAGCTACAGTAACAGTTCCAGTGGGGACGGCCTGGTGATGGGGCCAGGCAGGGGCGGCTGTGACACCCTCGACCGACCACAGTTCCTACCTCAGGATGAAGAGTACGAAGACTTCCAGGACAACAGAGTGAGTGTCCTCGTGTTTGTAATTTAATTCTCTGTGTACAAAAATAAAAACCTACTGAACTGATCATTAAAACCCAGGAAACAAAACAAAATGTAATCCATGCAACATCTGTCTTTCCATACATGAATATTAAAATGACTCCTTCTTCTAGTGGTAATTTTTCTGCCATTATCGTTAATTTATTATGATTCCCTCACGTGAGAAGGAAAAAAAAGGAGTAAGTGTTAATTTTGCTGTGGTGGGCGACCCTTGAGGGCAGTATGAGCAGTGAACAGGTGCAAGAAGTGATGAGCAGTAGGATGACAGGCGTGTAAAGTGATCCTTGCTGTGAGTGTCAGGTGATAGTGGTAAGGCACATGAGGTATTGTGGTGAATGAAGCCAGTCAAGGTTGTACCATTAGAAAGAGAGAGCTGTACCATTATTGAGAAGGTTACCATTGGGGCTAAGGCTGTACCATTAGAGACAAGGTTATGCCATTAGAGAGGGCTATACCATTATTGAGAAGGCTACCATTGGGGCTAAGGCTGTACCATTGGAGAGAAGGTTATCGCCTGTATTATGAAACAACATCTTCCTTTGAAGAGGGTCGTCGTGTTTCAACCCAAGTTTTAAACTAAATGAGTCCTGAGGGACACCGCAGTACAGTGCTTAACAGGGTGGTGTGGCGGTAAGATTAACTAATTCCAATATCATTAATTAATTTTATTGGAATTAGTTAATTTTACCGCCACACCACCCTGTTAAGCACTGTACTGCGGTGTCCCTCAGGACTCATTTAGTTTAAAACTTGGGTTGAAACACGACGACCCTCTTCAAGGGAAGATGTTGTTTGATATACGGGCATAAGCCACTGGAGATAAGATTGTGCCATTTGAGAGGGCTATACCATTGGAGATGAGGCTGTATCATAGGGGATAATACTGTACCATTGGAGACAAGGTAGCCATTAATGAATACAGCAGGAATAATTATAATTCTGTTAGGTATTTGTTTTCCATCTTCATAAATTTTTAAGACACTGACTAATATAAGGTAATTACTGTACCTGTATCTTAGAACAAAAGATCTGGATGTAGAGCCAGGGCAGGTGATTTATTTACAGGTGTGACTTCAATATTGTAGAACTTAAGAGAGTAACAATACTATTATGCGAGATAACTTCCTTCACATAACCTATTTTACTTTGTACATTTAAACAAGGATGAGCAAGAGTTACCGGGTAGTCATTAGCTGGTATGGATTAACCCAAACTTTGAAAACCTTAACTCCATACTTGGCTTTCCAGAGAGACAGTGGAATGGTAGAGGAGAGGACAGGAGGCCGGGATGATGTGGAGGAGACTGAGGATGTCTATATGAAATCTGTTGACGTAATGTCCTTTAGTAATATCATCGGTGAGTTTGATGTATATTGACTTTTTCTCAACATATACTGAAGGTTGAGTTTTGTTTATAGGTGTAAACTAAATGAAAGATGATAGAATTAATATAATACTATACTGTATTTAGAATACATACATACATACATAGACAAACTATTTTAGCAATTCCACAATTAACATATATGTAATGTACTGATACGTGCTGTAGAAGCTTTATAAAAAAGTGTAAATCTTCACAAATTTTACAAGAACTGTACTATACCGTCGAATACCTGACACACACTTCTCATTTGAGTCATCAAGGTGAAATATCTCTCCTCCAAATATATCCACCATATGTCTCACCCAACAACAATTCTGACTTAAGAATTTAGTTATTCTTAAACTGTACTTTTAGGGTTACTCAAACCTTGATCTTTGCTATTTCTTTCCTCCCACAGAAATCAGTCTTGCATCACTGACTGTTGGTGGTAAATCGATAGCAAATGCATATTTAAGTTTCTGGAAAGGGGAGCCAAGATTTAAAAAATAAATATTACTGTATTTGATTTCCATCCACTTATGTTAATTTTTGTTTTTTATTAAGCAAAGGGGGTGGATGAATACCCCCCCCCCCCCACACTATACTATATATACTACTAAACATAATAACCTTGAATATTTAATATTTTTTATTTTCAGCCACATGTGACAAACACGGAGTACTAGTGAAGAAAACCAAAGGTCTCCTGAGGAACGTGAAGAACCACTGTGTCGCTGCCAACGGAATGCTCTACCTCTACCAGAAGGAAACTGACGAGAGGCAACGCAAGGTGACTCACCCTCCATAATTATAATAAGAGTTATAATTCTATACCAGTAATACATAATGATAAGATTGATGACAGTAATACATAATATGGTAATAATGATCTGTGTAATGATCCAGTATTAAATCCTACACTGTACCCTCTGTTAGACCATAATGATACTGTAAACCAACAAGTCATAGGCTCATGTTCAAGCATTAACAGATAAGAGAGTTACTGGGTACATATTTATGTATCCTTGACGTGGAACTAAAGAAAGTCTTGTTTATCTATCTATTTTTAACTGTCAATCTGTTTACTGTATTTGTTTGTCTGTGTATTTGACCATACCTGTATTTGTTTACCTATCCACTCTCCTCCAAGAATTTTTCTCCTAGTACAGTACACCATCAAGCAGCCTTGTCTGTCTCAGTACAACTCAAACATTTAATCTCTCTTAATTTCCTTCTTACTCATAATCACCGTTAGCCTTCGTTTGTTTTTATATCATCTTATAACCTGCTGATAAAAGTACAACTTATTGAGTCGATTACAGTAGTTTATACATCTCAAATGTATTGATTATGAAAATAGTGTTGGATAGTGTAAGGAGAAGATACTGTACTGGAAAATAAGAAATGTATTCTGATGTTTTTCATGTTTATGCAGACAATTGACCTGATGGGATACTCGGCACGGGAAGCAACAGGTGAAGACATTCGAGACCAGCGTAAGAGAGATGCAGCGTTTGAGATTGTTGGCCCAGGGAAAAAGACCCACACGGTGAGAGGTCTTATGAATACCGTACTGTACTGTATTATAAACCAATGAGGAATGACCTTGATGTTACAGCACTGGATTCAGCTATTACAGTTGCATTTACACTTATTATGCCAAATTTAGACAACTTTTTATCCATACTTTTTCTTTCAGTTCATTGCACGGACAGCTCGTGATAAAATGGAATGGCTATCTGCCATAGATCGAACCATCAAGTCTGGCCGAAACCGCACACAGTCCTCTGTCAGTTCTGCATCCGAGGCAGGTGGAAATACTAACACTAATGGAATCAGACATGTAGGAAGCATTGAAATAATCTTACCACCCAAAGCTCCACCGCCAACACAGATGCTGCAAGGAAAAGAAGGTAAACCTGCAGAGGAATATTTCTTTTACCACGATGTCGCCAGTGACGCCAAAGATGAGGTAAGTTATTCAGTATTGAGAGAAATTAACACATATAGCGAGTGTAAATAACTGATAATACAGTAATAGCCGTGTAATTAGTAAGAAATTTTATCTTTTATGCAGCAGCTATTTCAAATGCTCGCCAAAAAGTGGTGTTCATGTTTTTTTCCTTTCCAAAATGATGACTTCTTCTCATGCTTCCTAGGTGTATGAAGAAGTAGATCCTGATGGGATGACTGTAGGGGACTGTGACACACTACCGCCACCACCACTGCTGCCATCACATCCAACACAACTCCCGGATTATGACCCGGTAATTTGTGGATGTCTCTCTCTAGCCTTGCTAACAGTTGGGGGGAGGGATGTACTCAGGTGACTTAGGGATTTAACATATTACAAGATACTAAGATGTGTCACTTGTGAGGATATCTACTGATGCTTAATCTGCCTCTGTATACTTTTAATGGTGATGCTTTCTGTTTAGTATTTGAATTAATCATTACTTGGTACAGTATCACTCTCTTATTACTTGTCAATACTGTACTCTTACTACTTGATATATTATTTAGGCAGCTTTCCTTAGATAAACTTGATAAGCTCTCATTCAATATTTCCCCAAACTAACATCAAATATAATAATAATAATTTCATCTTCCATGTAATTAAAGCTTCTGTAGTTTTTCATGTCTTCTTAACAGAGTAACTGTCTTTACTAACTCCAAAAGCATTATTATTAACTGGGATATCTAATAAAGAATTGATCAGGATTGGTATCCATAGATTTAAAAACACACTGACACAATTTATGATGATACTTGGATGACAGAGAGAAGGGTTTCCCCTCTGTAGACATACAGTATATTATTATATCTTTCCATTTAGATATTTATTAAAATCACCAAACAAGTTTACATTAATTCAGCAGGTTATGTAGACAGTGAAGGTAAGGTATACAGTGTATCTCATTTACAAGGCGCCATTCACCACATAAATATTATGGTTCTTAGTATGTGGTGTAGTGGCCGAGTGGATATAGCACTTGATTCATGCCCTAAACATTCTGGTTTGTACTTAGGGCAGGGACCCCCAATCAACCCAATTAGGAATGGATACATAACTTTACAGTTGGCAAAGTGAAAGCACTTTAGAACAGTGATGAGCACAGTGTCTCCTTGTATACTGAAGGCTTAGTATACAGTGTACTGTATCCACACTTCTTATAATGGACTTATAAGGCCAATAGAACCAACTTTCAGGGCTCTGTGATGTTAAAAAGTTTAAATACAGCACATCATGTGAATGCTGTCATTATTCATTAACAGACTTTTTAATATAGAAACAAAATCAGAATACGAGTAGGGTAAATGGATACTGTATATTGTAGATATTTTGACGTTTGATTCATACTTTCCACCACATTATTGGTTCACACACTTCTGTAAAGTGAAGGGCATGATAAGTGAAATAGCAACATAGATAACACTGTATAGTTATTAACACATAACATATACAGTAAGTTTGTTGAGTCCATTTACCTGTGTTTGTTCAGAAGAGATTAAATGTAACATATTTCTTAGGTATGCCCTGATGACCTGCGACCACCACTTGGGCCTCCTCTGCCCTTATCTCCCAGTTTAGGAAGACTGCCTCCTGGACGACCACCTCTTCCAAATGTTCTGCAAGAACAACTCAATAAACAGGCAGCGAGACCCCTTCCTGATGCTCCTTCTGAGACCAGTGAGGGTAGTGATGACACTATTGGTATTTATGTTGAAATTGAGGATGATATTCTTGAAATTGGCCGAGAAAACTTTATGAGAACTTTTGAACAGCAAAATGAAAAAGGTAAGACAGAAGCCACAAACTATAAAGAGTCAGATCAGGAGAAAAACTTGAATGGTGGTTCTAATGCACCAGCTCTTCCAGCAAGGGCATCTTCAAACTCTTTGGTTGGATTTCTTAGTGATGAAATACTTATGAACATATCAGATTTTAGTCCTTCACATCACTTAAACAAATATCCTTTGAGGTCATCCAACCCAAAAACTCCACCCAAATTGCCCCCGAAAGGAATTCCGATTCCTCCAGCAGCAGATGATGACTCTGAGTACAAAGTGCCCGTAATATCAAACATAGATACTGAATATCAGATTCCTTCCTCAAATCCCATTCCTACTGTTCCTGAAGAGATAGTTGCAGCTGAAACTCTACATGAAATATCTGCCCCTATACTCTCAGCTTCTCAGATGTATCAAGTTCCCCCTTCACAAACTATTGTCTCCATCAAGCCAACTAAGAAGGACAGAAGGAACTCGGTTATCGAGGAGCAGTCTAAACCACTAAGTTCATTCTTTACTGGGCAAGAGGATCCATATCCTAAGAACAACTTTAGAACTCTGACTAAACGATTTGAAAAGACAAATGATAACCAAGTAAGTGGTGAATTAAAAGATGCAAAACAATCATGTCAGGGAACATCTGTTAAAGACATGATTGCAAGGCTAAATAAAAGGAAGCCCACAGATGAAAAAGATGAACTTAAAAAAGAGGAACCACCTCACCCTGTTGCCACTACAGACAAGGTGGAGGGAGACCTTCCCAAACCTGATCCCCCTCAAGAAAATGACCCACTTTCAATAAACTCTGAACCTAAATTGCTTAAGCCAATGTTACCACCCAGACCACAGAATCTTTTAAATGGAGCCACAATAACCCAGAAAAACATTTCCTCAATTGAGGAACACCAGAGTTGTAACTCAAAGGCAGAGGATGATAATATATCTGATGATGATTATTATGAAACTCCAGATGATAATAGTTTTGACAGCAGTTCTCAGCAGGATTCTCAAGACACATCCCGGGGCAAAGACACAACTGCCCCTTGGAGAGTCATGCCAGAGACAGCGGGAGGTAAGCAAAATTAATTGTATACTGTATCTGCATGCAATGTGGCTTTTCATATTGTACAACCAAGACTATTAGTTGTCACCATCATAACACTTCATTACCTGTGCCTAAATAGATGTTCAAGTGAATGTAGTTTATGTTGTCTTAGTTACTCTTCATTAAAAAACTATAAAATAATAATAAACAATAAATTCTACCCATAGATATGGTAAATAACTTAACATAATAGGTTTCTGTAATGACATTTGGGAATGAAGAATTTTACCATTTTAGTGACCTGAATACTTGATAATCAGGTCATCAAACCACCACCACTAACCTCTAATTACTTAGGAGGAAATTTAATACAGGTACAGGTGCTGCTTTATGATGATAATCATAATTCTGAAATTGGGTTCAAACTTGAAAATAATGTCAAGCATATCACTTGTTTAATATTTTTAACACCTGTAGATGTACAAATATCTCCATCATTGGTCTATAAAGTTACCCACCTTATTTTTGTTACAGAATGGTTTGTAGCCAAGTTTGCATTTGTGCCGACCATTGACCAGGCGCTCGGCCTCAACCGTGGTGATGAGGTCTTAGTGTATGATACCTCTGGTAACTCGGGGTGGTGGAGGGGGTCAGTCAGGGGACGCTCTGGCCTCGTGCCCCGGGAGTATCTCAGGAAGAAAGAATAGTGTGCATAACTGGACTCATTTCAACATTAAACTCTGAAGAGCATGCAATTGTACACAAATAAACTTGAAGCATAAAATTCAGGCATTAGAAAAATCCACACAATTTAACCACTCCATCATCATGTATGGATAACTACTGTACAGTTAAAAAACACAGAGCTCTGTGACATTGGTGATTATATGACTGTACAGTACAGTACCTGTACTGTAGTATTTAATTATACTTTCCTTATATTTGCACAATACCTGGCCTGATTAGATGTTTCCATTCAGATGAATCAATACTGTACAGAACTGGCATTTGTCAAATTTACAGTGAACAGCTGAGCAACAAATTAACAATTTCAAATCACATTGGCATCATAAGAAGAAGTAATTTTGAAAATTATTGACATTATCAGTCCATTTTGAACATTGTTGAATGCCATGTAGTGTGTTTTCAGTCATGAATGATATTTATTCAAGCTTTCCAAAGAAAAAACAATACTCATTTATTAATTGTTGATATATGTGATAGAGTTTATTACTGATAACTGAAATATACAGTTATATAACTACTGTACATACCAGTATGTACACAATGCAGTACATACATAACTTGACACATGGTTTCTCCTTTAATCTTATTTTATAAAATATTACTGTATGTATTCAATACTGTACTGATACTATAATTGCTTTTTAAATAAAAGTAATTTTATGATCTCTTGTCTACTGTTTATTTGCTGTACAGTATATTTATCAGCTTACAGTATTTACATAACAGTATATAGTACTTTATATTCCAGTACTGTACATCTGGCTGTTGGTGGTACAGTGGTAGTGTGCTTACCTCTCACCTCTGCATCCCTCATTCGATCCAAAGCCAGATGTGAGAGTGGTGTGCAAGTTTTCTCTGGGTGTTCCATCTTCCTCCTGTAATAACACTGTACCCATGATTGGTGTACAAACTCCTTATGAACAATGGAGGTTAAATAAACCACCACCTTCCTTCCCCTATCAAAAAAGTAAATTGAAAAAGGTATACTGTACTGTATATATCAGTGTACAGTACTCAACCATTCTCAGTTTCTTAGGGTGAATCAGGATAGGTGAAAATTAGGAAATGTTACCAAGAAGTATAATTCTTTGCTGGCATGTTTAAAACTCATTCTTACTACTGTACAGGAATTTTTAATGATGTATAATTAATATACTGTACTGTACAGCGATGCTAAAATACTGTCTGTAAAGATTGTGGGTAAATATACTATTTTGTTTTCAAAATTGATATTTACTTAAAAGAATCCATACACTTTTCTTATGGTCAGAGCTAACCATCTGATATTCAGTAAAGGAAAGAGGCACTACATTTTCTTAGTTCATACACTGTCTAAATGAAAAACTTAATGACTCCTTCCAACTTATTTCATTTTAGTCCAAATGTTTTATGTAATTGGGGTACTGTATTTGAACCTTCTGGTCACTAAGTTTGACACTATTACAGTATGTCTTGCTGTCCAGTTTACTATGCAAAGAAGTAATAGTATATCTCAATTATTATTACTTAATTATTTTACTTATTAATTGAGACAAAGCACCAATTTCATTATAATGTACACAGTATAATGCTATTATTGTATTTGATATATGTATATACTGTAGGTCCATAGTGACTTTTGTCTCATATATTTAACACAGCAGTACATGCAGCACCTTCACCAGCCTCTGAAGTTACGGCATAGGTCAGGTCTAACATACACCACCGTACTGTATCCCTTGTGGAAAAAAGGGAACCTTATTTAAAGTAATGAAACCTGATTTTTCTTATAATTCATTATATTTACATTATTTAAAAGTATTTTTTGTACTGTACATATAATTTTCACATTAAAAACAAATTCACCAGGCTTTAATATACCATTTCACCACTTGTCCGTCTACTCCACTTACCATTCAAGTGGTTGGTCTGTTCTTTGTTGTGATCTTTACTGTCCAGTGTTAGTACTGGAGGAAACCTGTGATGCTTGGTAGTGTCATGCTGGATAACACCCTTCTCATGTGTGTCTCAGCCAGGACTTGGACCCATGACACAGTTGTGAGAGATATGCATGTTACCACTCTACTGTACCATCATATTAGACTCGTATTCCCCCAAGGGAGAATAAAGAGTTCAGTACCTTCCAATCCCAGGTGAATTTTGTTTTAAAAAATATAAAATAATGTAAATACAGTATCATGAATTAATCTATTAAAATGTGAGAAAAAATCAAGTCTAGAATATGTTTCCTTTATTTCCACAAGGGTTTCAAGGTTTGGCAAAGGATTGCTGTAAAGACCTGATCCTTGGCACATATTGATATATTATAGTTTGCAAGTGTTTGAGTTGTTTGTAGGTAAATGCTGCATTTTGATGAGGGGTCCACAACTGACTCTGCTGTCTTGTGAATTAAGTATTGTAGATATAGATGTGAAATTCTAGTGGTAATGATGGTTGTCCTTGATGATATAACCCAAGAAGATAAAGATGTGGGGAGTTTGATGATAAAAGGACATAAAGATGTTATTTAGTTAGTCTGGTGACTAATTTTTTATATGTTTTTTAATAAACTACAAATTTAGTGCAGATTATTAATTCACTTGTACTCTCAGACCACACGAGACTAAGGTACAATAGGTAATATTGTACATGAAAAGGGATATTGTACTGTGTAACATATCTATCATCTTATTAATAAACTGCTAGCTTCAAGTTACACAAGTCTTGTGTCCAGAAAATAAATAAAATGTATATATAGGATTGACTCACATTTTGAGAAAGTGAATTTTAGAATGTATTGTACTGTACTGTACAGGTACTTGATTGTGTAGTACAGTACAAGCCACATAACAAATTAAGTATAGTGTAAAGTATGTAATGTAAATACTGTTTTAAGTAGTTTTTATTGTTATGCATTATTGTCAACATTGTTAAACATCTTACTAGTCTGTAATGCCAAATAAGAGTACATCTTGTACCAGTTATTGCAATAAATATTTTTTGTACTGTAATTACACTATGCCAAATATACACTAAATGCTACCATGAAATAAATATTATTATAATAAAATATTTATATCTTTTTTTGTCACATTGATTATGTGATATTATCGTGTGATATAATTTCTTAGGAAGCTCTTAAAGATATGTTGATTCCCTGTTAGTCATCTGTAGATCATCTTTATGCACTACTGCCTGGGAAGATATTGGAATCATAATGAGTTATCTAATGGTAGACCCTGCTGCCATATGGCATCACAAAAATTGTGACCAAGTCCCAGGTTACTGATCATTGGGTCAGTGACCTGTGCATGGATGAGCTAATCCAAGACATTTGACACCACAGATGACATCTTTAGATGCTGCGCCAACCAATCACTGTCCGATTAGATGAAAATTGACAAATCACACACAAGGTTCCAACCACCTACACTTTAAGGAACCAATCATAATGACTTGTATAATACTACCTGAAAAATAACCTATCGGATGCAAGCTTTCAACCATTACGCCGTGACAATCAAGGTAGTTTTTTGTCTATATATTAAAGATATTAACGATAAATAGATATAAGAATTAGAGAGATAAATACATGGACATTGTACATTTATTGTATTGGCTGGTGTTTTATTTCTCAAAGTGACAGTTCGACTTCTCCACCACTGTTCAGGGTCATAAGTTGTTTCTTAAAGGGCTCCACAGAAGTCCGCGACTTCATAGATGCAGGCAACCGATTGTACTGGACTATGTGGGTAAAGGATCGGGCAGCAATAGGCTCAAGGCTTATCACTACTACGCAAAATCATTTAATAATATGCAGTTAGAGAAATTAATAAGATTTCCAAATATTTAAGCTCGCCAAACATTAATGCCTTAATAGTCATTAGACACTTTGAACCCTTTCCTAGCTTTAATTGGCAGCCAATGTAATTCGATCAAGAATGGTATAGTGGGAGTCTTCGGTGGGAGCTTCAGAGAGGACTTACAACTTCTAAGATCGACTTACAGAGTTAACTGGGAGATATATTATTGTAAATATCTTGAGTATCCGGCCCGTTTAATAGTATTACCTTGTAAAGGAATGACTCATTTTACCTTTAGGCAAGAAAGTAATCTTTACTCTAAAATAGACAGAATTTGTAGTGTTATGCCTTAGACATCAACGGCATACACGTAAGAGTCCTAGCTGTAATTAAATGAATGATAAAACTGAAGACCAGGAAACAGCTGTTCAAAGTTTGAAAACTATTTCTCATTGAGCCTGGCGGAGGAACACCAACGGACGGTGCCGCGTCTCTCAAGCTTGGCGCCGATCACGAAATTCCACTTTTATTTACTCAAATTTCTTCCGTTTTAGATCACGATAGTGTCACCTAAAATGAGTAAATAAAACAAATAAATATTATTGTCTTTTACACCAGGAGATCTTATTGTTCAAAATTAAATAAACGGTAAGAAGAGAGACATTAACGTAAATGGGTGGGTCGGGTCGCCTCACAGGTAACTCTAATGACAGCAATAAGTACCGAGACTCACCCCAGTTTCAAAAGTTTATAGAGGGCGGTAGTGACGCTAAGAAAAGAAGAGCATCGGAAGTGATGTTTTTCGCTTCTATTAAAGATTCATATTATCCATATTCCACCAGAGTGCGGCGGATAGAGGGTGGGATATCTTGTGGCTAGTGTCAATGTACGATTATTATTTAAGGTATAACTTTTTCGTCAGTGTTGTTTTGTCGGTTGTTGAGTTCATACGTGTTTGTTGCGGATTCATGAGAACTTGATTTGTTTTATAATATCAAGCGTGAAGCTGCCGACACCATGTTAAAGTTTATGAAACACCAACAAAAAATTAGTCCAGAACGAATACAAAAACAAAAGGAATTATTCGCATTCAACAAGGTGAGGGAATGTTGCTGTTAAAAGTTTGGTCATGAGGGAAGCAGCGGCGAGATGTGTCCATGTGATGTGTTTACAGAGGTAACTGCTTATACCTGAGTCATGACGAAATGATTATAGATATTTCTAGAATTTTGGAATTCCCCGAGACTTTGTATGATAAGCTGGACCTAAGGTGTTATATGTTACTTCAATGTTGTTTGTGGAGGGAAGCATGTAAACAAAACAAAGAATTCTTGTGGTCACAGGATGCTGGGCCAACTGAGGTCACGAGAAACGTTATTATTATTGAAAGTCATCAGCACGACACTACACCTTACTATAAAAATTGATCAGGGAGAAGATAAGGGGTCTGAGGTTAGATCAATGTTGCATTATTGGAAAAAAAAATTATGGTAGTTTGCTAGGGCCATTTACTCTGTGTTGATGGATTATATGTGTTGAGTGTGATCCTGTTGGGCTATGGTATAATTTATTTACAGTATTGTCATGCAGGATATGAACTAAGGGAAATAAAGCAAATCTAACAACCTAAGAAGGTTAATTTGTCATTATTCCCAGGTTCCAAGATTGTGCTTGGTGCTTCTTTGGTTGCTAATAACATTTATTTTACAAGGATGAAGATAAACAATGAAATCATGTTAAAAAGTATTTTAAGATTCCAGGCTTATTAGAGACATTTACAACAATTTTGGTTTGTACTGTAAGTTATTTGATTAGGTAGTTTTTTTTAATGAAGACGACTCTTTTACAGCCAAAAATAAATAAAATTGTAAAAAGGAATTGCAATATTTGCTTTGTTATTTTGGCAGATCTTTTTCAACCTGAACACAAATCTACATCCACCCACAACATGTCACTAAGGCGATTTTGATTATTTACATAATGTCCGTTTGATTCACAAATGCTTCTCAGCTGTTCTATACACATGACCCGGTGCTGGACAACTCGTACTTATGTAAGTCTTACCCATCAAAACATGTCAAGTCGTACACAATTTACGAGACAGTTTGTACCCCTGTATATATATATATATATATATATATATATATATATATATATATATATATATATATATATATATATATATATATATATATATATATATATATATATATATAAAGATATAAAGAGAAATTCACCATATGTGGGAAAGAATTCAATTAAATAAGATCAAAATTAGAATGCTCGCATACGCTGATGAACTGGATATAGTAAGCAACAACATCCAAGAAGTAGATACAATGGCAACAACCTTTAAGGAAATAGCAAATTCAACAGGACTCGAGATAAATGTGGATAAGACCAAAACAATGATCATGAAAAGAAACTAAAGGCAAAACTCAAAATGTATCAGAATAAGTGGATTAATATTTAAAAAACCGAGTCCTTTAAATACCTTGGATCACTTATGACATAAGAAAACAAGATTAAAGAAATAATGGAAAACCAACAATGTAAATTACTGTATAGCAAGGAGTGGAGCCAGTAATAGACACTACTTCAGTCTTCTGGACACACTAAAACGAAGATCCGTATCAAGAACAACAAAGCTGAGAATTTACAACACAATAATATGTCCAGTTCTTACTTACGGTTGTTAATAATGCACATTTTTGCAAATTTGTGAGCCTCATATCTGATGTCATCATTATCCATTTGGTAGCATTCTATCACTACTCTGAACCGATTGTGTATATTTTTATATGCAACCATTCTAGCCTGCAGCCCACATAATGTAGACTCTGGAGAAGTGTTGTCATCAACATGCTACTTTCGTTGTCTAATTCTGGTTTCTTAATATTCTGCAGTACTACATAAAGCCTGTGCTTCCATCTCAAAAATATCAAAGCGAGAGTTGGGGAGGAGTTATCTCGTGCGTTGAGTACCAGTTATCTTAGGTACGAGTTGGCGTGGGTATGAGTTAACTTTTTTGAGTACGATTTATCTTGGGTATGAGATGACCCTAACCCCACATGAATTTTGCTATATTATAAGATTTATCGGAGATAAGATGAACCCACCTAAGGTACCTATCCTAGGTTGGACGTATGTTATTTTAGGTTTGTCTGGTTAAGGTATGGAAAGGTCTCTGAGAAATGTTTGGTTACTGTAAAAGATCCTTGTGTTCTTGGTTGCAGTAAAAAATCCTTAATTTCTTGGTTACTGTAAAAATTTCCTTATGTAAAGATGACTGTTCGTACGTTAAGGTCATTGGAAAGCTTTAGTTTACAGATTAAGTTGCTACCAGGAATAATTTCATTGGCTCGACTTGACAGATAGAAGTCAATTACAGTATTTATAACAAGAACTCCGGAAAAAGTCCCACAGAGGATGGTAGTGATCCTCCCTCCACCAGTGAAATACAGAAGCTCTTCAAACACTACCAGGCTTTGTTCATAAATCCAAGGAAGTGTTCACATGCCCCAGGTTAGGTTATGGAAAGGTTTTATAACATTGAAGTGCCAGAACCCGAACATTCGTTAACCAGGGTGTTCCTGTACAATATACAGAATAATGCATACAGTACTGGTACAGTATACATTAACAAAATGTGCTTCCGGTTGGAAACTTTGAAATGATATTAAAGCCTTCATTTTTTCTCCCCTTTTGGTGTACCGTACAAACTTTATTTGGTACTCAGCATCTTAACAATATCCTGGGATTGAATCAAAGAAAATACACTAGCTTACAGTTTTGTTAGACCTAATACTGTACTGTATTGTACTGTACTATAGTCCATTGAGGCGGAAGGAAAGATATATATGAATTCAACATTTCCAAATACTTAAATAACCTATGTACAGTACTGTACCCTGTTTACTGTACAGTATAGTACTGTATATAAATTTTTACTCCATTAGTCAGTATACTATACATCATTATAATTACCATACTATCACAAGTAAAGTACAGTACTTCCCACATTTTCCATGTCACTTTGAAGAAAAAAAATGTGTTGCTATATTCTCTGTCTCGGCAGAATATGCAACACAGGATTATTCAGTGTTTGGGGTCCTTCTGAGCAACTAGCACAGATATTTTAGTTGTCCAAATAGACTTTATAATTAACTGCTAGTATAATTTGTAATGTAATATATGTACTGTATTTGGCCTGTCATGTACAGTACCCGGTATGTACGAAAGGATTCATATCTATGAAATGTGACAAAATTACATTTGACAGGGTAATATGTGAACACATAAAGTGGGCAATGAGAGAGCTAGGGGTTGAAGAGCACTGTGTTAGTGGTTCAGGCATTTTATATGTATATGAAGGCTCAAAAAATGTTGTAAGAGTGAACGGTGAGGAATTTGAGGTGAAAGTATGGGTTCGTCAGGGGTCTGACTTGAGCCCACATTCTGTTTATCATGGTGCTGGAGGAAATAACAGGACTTTAAGACTGGTATGTCCTAGGAACTGTGGTATGCTGATAGCAAATGATACTGTATTGAAGAAGCAGCAGAGAAAAATTAAGAAATGGAAGGAAGGAATAAGAGTTTGAAGACCTGCAAGTGAATGTGACAAAAACAAAAGTGTTGATTAGTGTTGTGGGTGAGGGATCTGTGGAGGAAAATGACAATGTGCTGCCTGTAAGAAAGGTATTAGCAAGAACTCAATTATGTGCCTGGCTGTTGATTTTTTGTGTCGGGGATATTTATCGGCCTTGGTTTCAGCTATTGGATTTTTAGAATACAGTACAGTATTACATTTCCTGAGCTTTAGCCGAGAAATTGTTCACCGAGTTTATTTTTTTTTGGGGTGGGGGGAGGGTAGGTTGAAGGTCAACACAAAATATTCACATGAAGGGAGAGATAAGCAGGTTTAGTAATTTTGTTTTTATTGAAAATTTGGTGCATATTTAATTTTTTTTTAGTATGGCAATGATCTGAGAGACCTGCAGAGCAAGTTTGTCTCCATACTTTTATTATCACAAGACAGTTTTCAAGTTAAATGAGACGGTAAATCTCATAGCCATACTAGGAATGTATTGACCACTCTTTAACATAATGCTGATGAGTACTGGGATATCTAATAGTGCTTTACTGTGTAATCTTAAACCTAGGTATACCAAACCTCTTGAGTACAATTACTAAACCACCTGAGTACAAGTAGCAACCTGTGGTCTTTGTACTGAAAGGGTTAAGGTTATGTTTGCAAGGGCTTTAGGTAGTGTACTCAAAGGGTTAATACATCATACTCAAGTGTTTAAGATGCCTTACTGGGCTAATTCATTGTACTGTACACATGGTTGGCATCACACTCATGGATTTTGTAGTTATACCAAGGAAAGGCACATCTGGTACAGTACTTCACTCAGACCCGGCACATTGAACATTATAAACTTTTACCACAAAATAAATGATTGAGCATGGTAATTACTGATTTTGGGTTCATATATATTGTACTGTATTTAAGAGATGGAAGGATGGATGTACCATTCCTATTTTATATTGGAGAGAAATGATTGAGACTGATTAAAGTACAATACAAGAACATGATGAGTTATGGGGGAGGATGGGTGGGTGAGGTTGTGGGAGGTGGTGAGCCGTTGAGATACCAGCAGTCAAACCAGTCGTTTTTCCACGGTACAGACATCTCCCTTCCATGCCACCCATCATGTTGATCTAAACCTGTCACAAGGAATTCTCAAAGATATTCTGCTGGTTGATGGTTTGGTACAAGCTGACTTTAGTTGACAGATTAATTAATTTTTAAGTGTAAAATAATAATGAAAATTTATGTATTAGTCATGCTTTACCACGGGTGTCTTTAAATACACTAGATAATAATGGTTCATGAGTTGTCTTACCCGGGTTACGATGTTCTCACACTTCACCAGACAAGTAGTTTCATCTGTGTGTACAGTACTAAAGTCCGGTTTTTTAGGGGCATATTATACGAAGTGTGTGAGACAGAATCACTATTGTTTATCAGATTTTCCAATAAAATACAATATTTTGAGAGCATAATGTAGTTGAGTTGAGTTTTGAGGTAATGTATCTAATGCCTTTCATTACTAATACTGTACAGGATTTTGAAATATAGTACAGCACTGTGTAAGTATTATGAGCTTAAAACACAATGGGGTGTCGTCCATAAAGTTGAGTGTTTTAATCAGTTTCTTGTTTATTTAAATATTTATAAATTATTTTTAAGATATTTAAGTTAATACTTCATGTACTGGAGTTGAGTATATGCACATTCACCAGAGCTTTCGGAGATGGGAAGTGAAATAAAAGGTACAGAACATGTAGGGTACTCTTATTTTTTCCTTAGGAATGAGACTCAGACGATGTGTATATAATGTCCTGGAGTCTCATGACAAGGAAAGGAGATATAATGGATTTTGTGTGTAAAGGTAATAGTGAAGACGAAGAATGGATGGATATGCTAGAACATTACGAGTCCTCTAGGGCTAAGATGTGTTTGTGGTGGTGAAATTTCGTTAACATTTTATTTTATTTCTAGTCCAACTGTCCAATGATGGTAGGGACGCGGCGTATAATAATATATATATATATATATATATATATATATATATATGGTAGAAATGTTTAACAGTATATTCTATGGTCGGTTTTAAAAAGCTGTGGTTAAGGTTTCATGTGTGTGATCAGAGACATATGACTCATAGTACAGTAAGTTGACAGTAAGAGGGGCATTGAGAGGAGTGACAAGTTTAATGTGTCTTTGGCAACACTTGGTGGATCATCTGACCACGGCCGGTGTTGGTGTGTGGGGAGTTTATGGCTCATTACACGTGGGCCCCGCAAGGTTCACTTCTTTCCTGGCTACACCATCGGTTATCTTCGTTTTGGCAACACTGTCCGCCAGCTTAGGGATGGACGGGGGTCCGGAATAGGAAATCAGGGAGTTAACTAAATTTTTGTATTTTATATTTTGCAAATTACGTAGTTCCGAGAAGTTGGTATATCATTAGTATTCATGTGATAAGAGATTTGTTAGCGTATTTGTTTAATTACGAGTATTGGGTTCACGACAAGAAGTAATGTGACCAAATCGAAGATATGTCATCTTTTAGTCTTTTGATAGTAACTTTCCGTCTCCGAACCACAGTATTTACTGGTGTTATACTGTTAACAGTAATGTTTGTAATAAATTCTGTAAAGCTGTGTAGAGAGATTATATAATAATTATTATCATTTACGGTTTATTTCTGAGAAATAGACACAGCTACCATTGTATCCCAAGGTATTGTACCGTACATGTATATGCATGACCTGTTACTACACAAACAGATGTGTTTGAGATTTTGGAAACCAGGGATAACTGTTCAAACATAGCAAGTGACATCTCCATAAACTTATGTATGCATCTATCCAGTCATATCAGTGAGATGGAACTACACCATGTTGCAAAGTAATGCCAAGCTACAGACAGTATTTAACAGCAAGTAAGGCATATGTGTACAGTGATAAAGGTTCATTTATTAGAGTTTGCCGAGTATACCGTTGTAGGCTAAACTTTGCATCACACGTGTCTTCTTAGGGGGTAACATAAGATAAACCACTATAACATATATTTAGTATCTCTGATAAGCCTTATCAGAAGCGTTTCCTGGGATGAGTCACGAGCGGAGTGATTGCTGGATGCCGCTGTGTGTATGTACAGATAAAGCCATGAGTCACCCCTTAGGAGCATGTGTGTGCATGTCAACCTGCTGTTTCCACGTGTACTCTAGTGACTTATTATTATTAACTACATTACTCTAGCACAGGCCAAGTGTAATTGGTAAGGTAAATTATCCAGTTATTATAAAGTACAGTACTTCCTTTTTATTTCTTAAATCATTAATTATCATTTTGGCTTCACAACTTAATATACAAATGGGCTTCGTATTCGATTTCCTGCTAAGTAAACGTATTGAGTTCAGGTAGTCTCAGCTTTATTTAGATACGGTACCATTTTGGTTGTAATTTTTGTTCTTTGGCATAATTAGTCAGTCGGGTGCGTTTCTAAATCTGCATTTACGAGAAATATTCAACGTAGGAACCTTTGTGAATCTGGAGCCAGAAGATATGAATTTATTACAGGTTACATTGTGGATTGTGATTTGTACTTAGCTTAGAATACAATTTTGCTCTGTTGAAAGTATGTCTTAATGGAGAGTTTGGGTGAATGTAGGAGCTTTAATCCACCGGAAGTTGCCTGAGCAGCTTCGTGTTAAAGTATGTCTTAATGGAGAGTTTGGGTGAATGTAGGAGCTTTAATCCACCGGAAGTTGCCTGACAGTCGTTACAGAAAAAGATTATCCTTTTTTGTTTAGATAGTTAGTGTATGTATAAAACCACTAACACCCTTTTCTTCTCTGTCCACCAGGCGTGTTATCATGGGTTCCCGGCCAAGCCCTCAGCTTTGGCGTGGGACCCCCTGCTTCGACTCCTGGCCATAGCCACCAAGAACGGCCAGATCAGGATGTATCCTTTCTTATACCACAGCGAGGTACAGGTTTTTCTTTCTTGGTCGTTGTTTCTATAATGACCGGTCGGATTTTTTATATTTTCTTGTCAGTTTATGTTTTTAATACTATTACTACAATTATTATTGTATTATTATTTTTAGTACACAGTATCAACGTTATCGCGAGTTATGACCATTTTCCCTCATCCGTGTGTCGCTAGAAATAATTTACTGTACACTTAAAAGATAATTATTTCTCTATGCTCCTGGATTGATGGTTAATTAGCAGTGTTTATTACCAGTTAAAGGTAAGTTTGATGTACTGTACTGGCGGAGGAGCGACTATGGCGGCACCAGTGAAGATGTTATTTAAGGTGAGTGCTTTAAGGAGACTGTTGTGTTGTGGTGGTGGTTAGGCAACTTACCAGTGGTCACCTTAATATAAGTACGGAATGTGTACTATTATTGTTGTTGTTACTAGCAGTATTATTAGAATAATTGAGAAATTTGTTTATAAATGGTATATAATTTATCTTAATGGTGCATTGTCTTTTTAAATTTCGGAATTTTAATTTATACTTTTATGATGCTGTTTTTATACTCTTGTTTTATTACTGATTGTTATATTGTAATTATCGTTATTATGATACATCAGTAGCTATTGTAGTCATTGGCACACCAAAATAACAGGTTAGGGAGCACAGGGAAGTGGAGACTGAGGGCGGGGGATTGGAGGGGCGGGGCCGTCACAAGGGAGAGGGAGGCAGGGCAGGAGACAGCAGATACTCTCCAGGGTGACGTATAGGCGTCCCCCGGGGTAAACAGCTGATCCCTGGTCACAGACACCCAACACCCTGGAGTCTTAATACTCGTGGCTACCGGGAGGGTGGGGGGCGACCACAGTGGGGAAGGAGAAAGGGTGGGGAGAATAGAGAGGAGGGGAGATGAGGTAAATGAGAGGGGGAGGCAAGAATGGTGAGGAAAGGTTAATTAATTTAGGAAGGAAGGGCGGAGAGGAGAAAGATGGAGGAAAATAGGAAAGAAGTAAATGAACCTTAGTGGAGGCAGCAGAGGTGGAGAGGTGAGAAATATTGGGAAAATGCAGCTGGGAAGAAGGAAGAGAAAGTGACTGGACAAGAGAGGAGAGATGAGGAATAGATGAGATATGAAAGCTGAGGAAGGAAGACAGGAAGGCAAGCAAGGAAAGAAGTGGGGGAGGGAAGGAGGGAGGTGATACAGAAGCCGTTGGTCTAGACTTCCAACACTGAGGGTCTCCGGGTAGAGGGGGGTTGTTTATCGTTTTCTCTATGGTCATGGAGGGGAGGTGAGGGTGTTCCTGAAGAAGTGTTAATCTCCCTCTGTCCAGGTGGCGGTGACATGTACGTATCCCGGATGGTTATATCTATACCTGCTAGATTGTTTAATACACGGGGTAAATGTAGGGGAATTTATTGTACTGTATACGTTATCCTGTTGTGAGTGTGTGGGAGAGAGGAAGAACAAGGCGATGACGTGAGCGTGGGGGGAGGGTGTGTTGAGGGAGTGCGTGGGAATGTTGCTCCGGGAGTGTGTGTATGTGTGTGTGTCGTGCCCAAGCTCTCTCTCTCTCTCTCTCTCTCTCTCCACCAAAACCGTCTTTCTCGACCAAACTTTTATCGTTTGACCCCAACACCATATTTGTTCCCCCACCCACCCACCCTCCTCCTTCAGTAGTGACCCAACCACCGTTTCTGTCTCCTCAGCTGACCCACGCGTCCTTTCTCTCCATCGTCTCCACTCGTACCGCATATTTTTCTCTCACCATTAGCTTACCACAGTCACCATCATCATTGTCCCTCACCACCGCCGTCACTCTCCTCGTCTTCATTGTTGAGAGGACAATCAGTCTCGACCTTGACTGTGGTGGTCATTAGTCACACACACACACACACAACACACACACATACACACACACACACACACATAACACACACACACACACACATACACATATAACACACACACACACATTACACACACACACACACATAACACACACACACACACAACACACACACATACACACACACACACACACATAACACACACACACACACACATACACACACACCGTTAATTATTATTATTATTACACACTCGCATACCAGCCACTAAATGCATTACGTTAACGCCGCTGCTGAAACCACAAGTTTACTTTTTACTCTCACCTAACTACCAATACCTGGCGTACCACACAACTGGTAGCGCCAACCTGCACTACACCCACCTACCTCATGACTGGTACAACAACACTAAGTTTACCCAACGCTGTGATGATGGTGGTGCCTTATCTGTGCTTCTTACCGTACCTCACCTACCTGGCCACACTGCCACTGGGGAATTAGACGTTTGGTCCACGGTTAGGTCAGGTCAGGTCCTAACCACACTGGTCCTATATTCACTACTGGTTGGTTAAGTGTGGCAGCTACTATACATAACTGATATTTTTCATCTGGGCACAGGACGGCTTTACTCCTACAGCAACTACTACTACGACCGCCACTACCAATACTACAACCACCACCACCACTACTACCACCACCAATACTACAGCCACTACTACCGTTACCTAAAACACAGGGAGACGAGGGAAGGAGATGAGGATGTGTAACTAAGAGTATCTCGTGCCTGGCTGTCCCAGGAGTCGTGGTTATATGCTGTAAAATTATCCCGGCGTCTGTGTGCTTCCATGATGCTGTGGCCTCGTGTTGTGTGTGTGTGTCTGTCTGAACTCTGGTGTTGTCTTGTTTATCACCCACACCACGATGGGGAGTAAGATATGGAGTGAGGAAAAAACAGGAGGGGAGTTTGTGTGTTTATTATTATTTATTGTAAAAGGAGACGTGTGTGTGTGTGTGTGTGTGTGTGTGTGTGTGTGTGTGTGTGTGTGTGTGCGTGTGTGTGTGTGTGTCCACGAACATTACACTTAGATGGGAACAGATATATTTCAAAAAGCTTTTCTACCTAACACACACACACACACACCACTACCAGTAGGCCAAAATATCAAAGGTGGTATCCGTGTATGCGCAGTATAAGGTCTTGTATCGCTTAAAGATGCTGTGATGAAACCTTAACTAGTGTGTACAGCGTCAAATCTAAGTGTATGTATCAGGGGGTAAGGTATTCAACAGCGGGTGTACTGTTTAATGTAGTGCTTGTACCTGTGTGTGGTGTTTTGTTTACTTTGGAGTAGACAAGGTTGTTTACAGTTTAGGGAGGGTGTGTGTAGGGGTTTTGTTAAATATACTGAATTAAGTTGTGTTTTGGTTACTGGCAAGAATGTATTATTTGTTGTATAGTACTGCACGTCTTATTATCTATACCTGTAACTCTACCCTTGTCTCTCTCTCTCTGGGGTAGGGGAAGAGTCAATATGATAGATTGATTAGATTAACTTGACACTAGTGTTTGGTCACGGGGCCATTGTGTACACATGTGTGGTGTGTGTGAGGAGGGGCGGGTGGTGGTGGCTGATGGTATCACTGCAGTGCACGGCTGCTGGTACCCCCCACCTCTCTCTCTCTAGCCTTAAACATTGGAACATTATTTATTTATCCAACATCAACAACAGAACAAGTACATGGTTCCTTATTTACAGATAAAAAAAGTGGCGAAAAATTTATCACTGGGAAGAAGGTTTTCTCACACACGAAGAAGCATCCATCAGTCAGGTCAAGTCAGGGAAAAGTTTAAAACAAAGTGGCAGTAAAAAATAGTGTCCAGTGGTGGTACAAACGCGCGCGCTCTTGGTCGTCTAATTGGAGGTGTAACTCAAGCGATCTTTTGGTTGCCCGACGTAATGAAAATGCAGGAAGATTTTTTTGACTCGTAATTTTTAGTTCCTGTCAGTGTGGGGGTGGGGGGAACAGATAGTCCGGTTAATGTCCTGTGGAGCGCCGGTGCACCGCAGTTATCCGGTGGTTTTCCTCAGCGGTGACCGTCCCTGTGTTGAGGTCCTAACGTCTGACTGGCTGGTGGGGGAGAAAGGGGTTGTAATTGTGGTCTGGAATAGTTTTTGGTGTAGTTAGGATGTTTATGGGTGTAGGATGGTTCTTGGGATGTGTCTCAGGCGGGGATGATCATAAGGATGTGTATTAGGGAGTTAATACACATCCTTATGTGCGGGGGCCGAGAAAGTTAATGTACATCTCATTTGGTTAATACATTACATAGAGGGCGTTGTGTTGTGGTGTTAGCTAGTAATGGTGATAGCCAGTGGTGGTACACCCCTGGTAGGTGACACGATCACGTGGTGGAGGTAATACGTTCACCTTACTTACTCATCCTGTCTTACCTCACCGCCCGCCGGCCTGGACCAACCCTCCTTCTCCCTTCCCCCTCCTCCTCCTCCTCCTCCCTCCTCCTCCCTTCACCTCCCTCCTCCCCCAAAACCCCCCCCCTGTTGACTTAAGTTTCAGGTGTGTTTTGAGGTTGGATTGGGTTAGGTTAGGTTGAGATTAGGTTGTGTGTTACTGACGTGGTCTTACCTGTGCTTACCTGCCCACACCACCTCCTTCGCCTCATCCTACGCACATCCTTCAACCTTCCCTCTTCCCTCCCCCACCATTTTCCTCATTCCCACCCCACATCCCCTACTACCCCACACCACCTCCCTCCTCATCACCACCCTTCACCACCTCCCCACTTTGCCTCACCACGTCCTATCGCGTTCTCCTTGTCTTGTCTTTCCCTCCCTCCCTCTCCGTCTTCTTATCGTTTTCGTTGTCTATATTAATATTCTCTTGCATCCGTTATTGTCTTTGATTACGAGAGAACCAAATTTAAGTGGTATATATTTTTAAAGCAGGGAATGTTGGGTGAATATATATATATATATATATATATATATATATATATATATATATATATATATATATATATATATATATAAACTATAGGTTATTATATGTGTATGTTTTTAGTAATATATACAAGGCAGGTTATTGTAGGAGTCAGCAGAAAATACAATATAGGT